TTTGTATGGTCAGCTGGAGGTTCTTTCATAATCTCTCCTTGACTACTTGTTCTCAACTAGATTCTGGGGTGGGGAGATCTTAGACAGCAATAAAGACAGAGATAGAGGGAAATGTAGTCTGCAGGAAACTAGATTGGACAGTTACTGTGGATTTTCTGGTTCCTTGCAGTGATGAAATTCTGAAGCACCTTTTCTAAAGTTTATAATTGTTGTTTTGTTTTGTTTTTTGCTGGTCATGGTACCTGAACTCTGGGACTGGGCTCTGTCCTTCAGCTCTTCAGCTCAAAGCTAGCACTCTACCGCTTGAGCCACAGTGCCACTCCTGGCTTTTTCTGTTTATGTGGTGCTGAGGAATCGAACCCAGGGCCTCATGCATGCTAGGCAAACACTCTACCACTGAGCCACCTTCCCAGTCCAAGTTTATAATTGTTTAAAGTCAAATATTTCACTTTCAAGCACTGTCTTCCTGGGATGTTCATGACTTACTTGTTTACAGCAGAGAGTCTCAACCTGTTCTGTTGTCACAGGCCTTTCTGGCAATCAAGTGATCTGTGAATACCTTCTCAGAATAATGGCTTTCTAATGCATGAACACTAAATATGAAGGGTTGTAATATTTTCCAAAAAGTAGTACAATAATGTATTATCTTCTTATTAACACAAGATTTAGTGGTAGTTCTAAAAATCTGTGATTTCAAAATAGTATTTTGAAATAAGTTCAATGGAATACATCTACATCTAAATATCTGACTTTCTATGGGTAATGACATCACAGGCACTACTAATAACACTGGATTGTTAAAGGGTACATTTCAGCTAGAAGCTGCTAAAAATTATTTTCCCCATCCAGATTCACCAAAACCCTGGCCTGATTTTACTTCATAATCTAAAGAGCAAACTATTTTCATTTGCCAGCTCAGTTCTAAGTTATTTGTTGCTTCTTATATTGCTTCTTGCGTGCTTTTTTATATTTGAATTTTTTTGTTGTTGTTTTTTGGATCCGGTTGTGGGGCCTGAACTCTGGGCCTGGGCGCAGTCCCTCAGCTCTTCACCTCAAGGCTAGCGCTCTACCACTTGAGCCACAGCGCCACTTCCAGCTTTTTTTTTCCTGCTCATGTGGTGCTGAAGAATCGAACCCCGGGCCTCATGCATGCAAGGCAAGCGCTCTACCACTGAGCCACCTTCCCAGCCCTTGAATTGTTTTTGAAGTGTTAGAACGGCAATAATTGATGGCTTGAGTGGAAAGAAATCAGCAATGGATTGGAAAAGAAAGGCTTCAAGACAAGCTCCTGATATTGTACCTTAGGTATACTATCTTGCCATTGTTGTGGTACTCCAAAATCTATTAATTTCATGATGCTTAAGTGTGTGAGCTTTAATAAGATGTGGACCATCTACATTAAACAGTGGTATAATGCAATCTTGTAAACTTAGATAATTCACTGTGGGGTTGGTTTGTGTATCTCCCCATGATGTCTGCGAAGCCGTTTACTGAATGAATCCTAATTTCTCTTCCTCTAGGAGAACAGGATGGGGTTGTCATCTCTGTTTCACAATTGAGGAAGTAGTCTCACAGAGTGGAGATAGTCAGCTGGAATTCTCAGTTGTATAAGGCTACAAGGAAGAGTGATAATGGCTGTGACAGGCTGGGCCTCCCTCTAAGCAGACTGGATGCCCTCTCAGCTCCCTTATCAGCCCAGCTATCTTCAGTGCCCACAGCATTGCTCAATGCTGGGAGCCAGACTAAAGTAGCCTCAGCCGTCAAGAATCTCTAGAACGAGAAAGAAAGCAAAGCATCCAGAAAAAAAAATCCTATCTTCAAAGGATGTACTCACTCCATCCCCATTATACCTCTGAGTTTAGTATTCTTACTTATCCCTGTTCTTCAGATAAGGAAACTGAGGCTTAGACAGACTGACCTGCCACCTTGAATAGATACTAACTTGGCACTGAGTGTCTCCTGACTACATCTTGGCTAAGATGAAGACATAGCCTAAGAAATGCAAGGAAAGAGAGAACCTGGGAGAGAAGGGAGAATCAGAAGGTTTTGTGGAGTGAGATTTTTATCTGATCTGGACAGGAAAGAGATTTAGAAAGATAGAGGGAGCCAGCACACATGACAAGCGATACACTGAGAGATGTATAACCACATAATTATTCAAATCCAGCCTGTAGAAATCCATAGGTAGAGCCAGAATGATGTAGCTGATATGGGCCATGGGTATAGAGGTCCTGATTAGCATTGTTTTTGGCTTCAAGGTCATCTACTGATTCTATGCTGGCCTTAACTATATCAGCAAGGGCAATCAGCAACGACTATATCCTTGTTGACACAGAAATAGGTCAGTATCAGCAGGCCTATCTAGAGGCCAAGGACAACCTTGTAAAGAGCTTGAGGAAGTATATCCCAGTCTATAAACTGGGCCTGATGTTCAAGTATAAGGTTTATACAGCCGTGAATGAGTTATTCTGTGGGACCAGCCCAACAAAGATGTTGGAACAGCTGCAGTCCCTGAGGTAAGGAAGGCATGTCCCTTCCCCCTCACCTGCTCACTCCCTATTTCCAGGGAGTGGCCCACCTTCTGCAGCTACCAGGAGGAAGGCACCCAACCATGTCTGGACCACCAGGGAAGAAACTGTACCCACCAATGCCTCTGGGCCCCAGCTGTGAGCAAAGGCCACCTTGTATGCCCCAACTATGTTTGTTGATATGTCTTTGGGAGGCACAGAAATGGAGGGACAAAGAGTAAACAAATGCAGCAGTGGTACTCACTAGACACCATATTGAAAATGAACTATGCGACTTATGGGTGGGGATGGGAGGGAGAAACTGGGAGAGAGAAAAGGAAGGGGTGACATTGACCAAAAAGAAATGTACTTTCCCAGTACTTACGTAACTGTAACCCTTCTGTACATTACCTTTATAGCCATTTAAAAAATAACACTGGGTGTGTGCATTTCCTTCCTGGTGAATTGTTTTTCATACATGTGGCCTTCCCCTTTTAGCTTTGTTGGGGTTTTTTGTTGTTTGTTTAGTTTTGTTCTGTTTTGTTTTGTCCGTCATGGGCCTTGAACTCTGGGCCTGGGCGTTATCCCTGAGCTGTTGAGCTCAAGGCAAGCACTCTACCTCTTGAGCCACAGCAACACTTCTAGTTTTCTGGTGGTTAATCATACATAAGAGTCTCACAGGTCAAGCACCTGTGGCTCATGTCTGTAATCCTAGCTACTCAGAAGGCTGAGATCTGAGGATCACGGTTCAAAGCCAGCCTGGGTAAGAAGGTCCATGAGACTCTTATCTCCATCTAACCACCAGAAAACTGGAAATGGTGCTGTTGCCCAAGTGGTAGAGTGCTAGCTTGAGCTGAAGAGCTGAGGGACAGTGCCCAGGCCCAGAGTTCAAGCCCCACAACTGACCAAAAAAAAAAAAAATGTCTCATGGACTGGCAAGGTTGTTTTGTTTTTTAATCCATACTTCACATAGCCTCTACCAGTTGATTGCAGTTGACATAACGAAGATTAGTGTCTTCTGACTATGTTAGACTCCTCAGCCCTTTTCATTACAAGTTCCAGCAGGCCAGCTCTCACCTGCCATCCTGGGCTTCTGTGCCTACTGTAAGCCAGTGTGTGGTACCAGGGAGGAAGGCTCCATAGTAGTTCCCAGACAGTGTCTGTGCCCTCAGCTTTAAGTGGATACCTAGGGTAGGAGATATTAGGGTTGAAGTTAGGTCCTTGTTCTTGCTAGGCAGCACTTGAGCCACAGCTCCACTTCCAGTTTTCTGGTGGTTTTTTTCTCTCAAGTTTGTTTTTCAGATCAGATCTCCATTTATCCTCTGGCCGACCTTGGACCATGGATCTCTTAGCTGCAGTAGCTGGGATTACAGATGTGCAATACCACATTCAGATTAACCTCCTTGCATTCTTAAGGTCTGATTCTGAGGAACTCTAAAACATTTCTTTTGTTAGTCTATCCCTTTGTTTTATGGATGTAAACACAAGTGACTTCCTCAAGCCAGAGTCAAGCAGGGCTCTAATGAGGACTCTGTTCTCCATGCCTAGCCCAGGACTCAGCTCTTCCCAACATCACTTGCTGCCCCCTGCAGGCTGCTCCTGGTTTGGCATCTTATTTCCCCATGCAAAAGAAGCAGTTGACCACAGGCTAGAAAAGCCTACTGGCATCAGAGAAGTTTGCAGGGGCTTGCCTACCTGGAGCCCCTGAGGTGCAGGCCTTGTCCTCTGGGTACAGGCCCTTGAATTCAGCCCTTCCATTTCTAGTGCACTTCTGCTGCCAGGAAAAAATGGCACTCTCTGAGTGGGTGCAAGAGTTGAGGTATGCTTACAGTTACATGAGCAAGGTAATGAGTACATTTCCTATAAAGCATTGTTGCTTCCTCCTTTGTTTTTCCCCTACCATCCCTTCCCTCCCACCTCCACAACACCCACCCCCCGCCAAAATTTTTACCATGTTCTTAAAGATGAGTTCAAGATTGTATTTGCTTTAGCTTTACCAAAAAGGCATCTTTCAATCTAGATTATGTAACTAAATAGAAGGACATGGGTGACAAAGTGAACCTGATTTCTGGCCATGGAAAGGGGGGCTTGGAATATGGCTCAATGGTAGAGTGCTTCCCTAGCATGCATGAAGCCCAGGGTTCAAATCCTCAGTACCACATACACAGAAAAGCCGGAAGTGGGGCTGGGAAGGTGGCTCAGTGGTAGAGTACTTGCCTTGCGTACATGGTGGCTCAGTGGTAGAGTGCTTGCCTTGCATACATGAGGCCCTGGGTTCGATTCCTCAGCACCACATAAGCAGAAAAAGCTGGAAGTGGCACTTTGGCTCAAGTGGCAGAGTGCTAGCTTAGAGCTGAAGAGCTGAGGGACAGCACCCAAGCCCAGAGTTCAAGCTCCACGACCAAAAAAAAAGCCAGAAGTGGCACTGTGGCTTGAGTGGTAGAGTACTAGCCTTGAGCACAGAGAGACTCAAGGACAGTGTCCAAACCCTGAGTTTAAGTCCCAGAACTGGCACAAAACAAAAGAAAAAAAATAAGAGAGAAAGGTGGCTGTTGGTATTCGTATCTGCAGCCCTATGAGTGGAGCTTTTAGGTCCTGCAGCTTCAGCATAGATGTGGAGGAGAAAACATATGCTAAGTCCTCACCCCCCTACTGTGTGACTCTTCCTCTATAGAATGGGGATGAGGGCTCCCAGCGTGCTGCATTGGAGAAGGCCTGCTCTGAGCAGGATTCCCCTGCCCTCTTCATGCCAGGAAAGTAGCCCAGAAGGAGACTGCCCACAGGGGAAGGTGTGGCCTGGGGTGAAGCCTTCTGTCTCACCCTCCCTCCCCCAGTTGTCCCTGGTGACAGGCAGGAAAACCTGCCTTAAGTTCTGTGCACTCCATTGGTTCTGGGAGATAGGAGCCAGAGCCATGAACAAGATCTTCCCTCAGGTAGGAGCTGTCCTGGGGAGACAAACCTGCATTCAGTCCTACTTGCACCCTGGGATGCTGGGAGGGAAGAGGCAACCAGGAGAGTGAGAAGGAGCTGCTTAGACTGGCCTGAAGGACCGTCAGGTGCCAAGTGGACAGCAGAAAGAAGCACAGCACAGAAGCCACTCACTTCCCAGGCAAAGTGTAGGGATGTGAGGCAGGCAAAATGAATGTGGGGTGCTTGGCATGCTGGGATGTGAGGGACCAGTAAACTCAGTGCTCTCAGAGACCCATTGTGAATACCCTGAAGTCTACAGCCCCTCCCCTAGCTCTACTCCCTGGCTTGGCCTGGTCTCTCCCAAGCCCACCTTGGCTCTGCTGTCTTGGGCAGGGAGACGCAGAGGACAATGCTGCTGCCAGAACAAAAGCTGGCCCTCGAGGGGAAGGTAAGAATGGAGGGCTGGGCTAGATGCTGTGCATCCAGTAGGTGCTTCCTTAAGCCCATAGTTGGCTACAAGTGCACCAAGAGGGTCCAGGGCTCTTGCTTCCCTCTTCTCTGTTAATGGTGTCAGCTTTCTAGCTTCCTGCTGTGCTGAGGTCACTTGCTTAATAGGATTGCTTATTCTTTCCATGCAAGAGCATTTATTGAGCTCCTACTGCATGCTGTGTACCTACCAGGTACTGCACTGTATACAGTTCACACCTATAACCTGAAGAAAAAGGGACCTTAGAGCTAAATTCCTGATTCCGAGAATGACCTAGACGATTTGCTTTACCTTCAGAGGGATAAAGTGAATCCAACACTTAGTATTTACATGTGTTACTGGCTCCCTGTGCAACTCTGACCATTTTTCTTCACCTTCATGGAATGAAGGAAATGGGTGAGAAGGAGGGAGAGGAGGAAGAGCATCTTCTATTCACCCTATCTTGGCCCATGTTTGGTAGGTGAGGAAGCAGACCTGAGAGGGACAGGACAATGAAAGCTCTAAAGAGCCTGCCCAGGGGCTGGGAAGGTGGCTCAGTGGTAGAGTGCTTGCCTTGCATGCATGAGGCCCTGGGTTCGATTCCTCAGCACCACATAAGCAGAAAAAGCTGGAAGTGGCACTGTGGCTCAAGTGGTAGAGCGCTAGCCTTGAGCTGAAGAGCTGAGGGACAGTGGCTCAAGTGGTAGAGCGCTAGCCTTGAGCTGAAGAGCTGAGGGACAGTGCCCAGGCCCAGAGTTCATCCTCCGGACAGCTCTTAGGCACTGGGAGGACATTAGCAAGACTGAGAAGTGGGAGAGGCTGGGTGTACATTCCAGCTGAGGTCCTTCTGGCTGCAAAATCCCAGAGCCTTCTTAGTGCCACATTGGTGGTAGTTTATTTCCAAGACCTGGCTGGTAGAAGGGGTGGTAGTAGAACCAAGAACTTCCTCTTTTCTTCATCTGCCAGGGAAAGGACTGCACCTCAAGCGTTTTGGTATGCATCTTCACCTGGGCGACAACCTCAAGCTCTGCAGCTTCTCCTCCAAGTGACCCCACTTTGTGCCTGGCTTGTGCTGCACAAATATTTGAAGAGCAGCCACTTGGCTGGCCAGGACACCTGTCACAGCCTGCTTTACCTTGTCCCCCTGGTTACCTGAGTTTGCTAACAACTAGAGTTGGAAGGATTCCTGGTTTCAGATTTACACTGAGCCTCCTGTGGCCTGCCAGCCCCTACTGTCTCCACCCCCCACACAGTGCCCTCTTCATCCGCTTCTGGGGAATGTCTGCACCTTCTCCCCTCTTATCTCCCCTACCTTTGGAAATCACCAGAGCTCCAGTGCTGCGATATGACCTTTCTAACTCTCTCTCTCTCTCTCTCTCCTTCTCTCTCTCTCTCTCTCCCTTTCCCTCTCCCCTCACCCCCCCTCTCTCTTTCATGGGCCAATCCTGGGGCTTGAACTCAGGGTCTGGGCACTATTCCTTAGCTTTTTCACCCAAGGATGATGCTCTACCACTTGAGCCACAGCCCCACCTCCAGATTTGGGGTGATTAATTGGAGACAAGAGTCCCTCAGACTTTCTTGTCAGGGCTGGCTTTGAACTAGGGAACTCCTGTCTCAGCCTCCTGAGTAGTTGCAATTACTGGTGTGGGCCACCAGTGCCTGGCTTATGAAGAAGGCCTAGGAGCCCTTTCCAGGGCCATCCCTGGAGGGGGATGGGCTGTATGCAGATAGCAGGGAAGGAAATCCTGGACCAGCCTGGCCATCCCTGCACCCCCATTTGTGTTTCCTCCTGTCCTCAGGCTACAGGCTCCTCTGCTGCTCTGGCCGTGAGGCCTGCCTCTCTGCCTTCCTGCTGCTTCTGCTGGCAACACTTGCAGCCCTTCTCGTCCTGGTCATCATCCTTGGACTCCCATCCCGCACATCAGGTCAGAGTGGGCAAGAGAGGATGACTCAGACCTGCTGAGGAGAGGGTGGAGGCACAGAGACAGGGAGCCCACACTCTGCATGGCTCTATAAAGAGACCTGGGTGATGCCTTATATTGAGTGTGGATAGACACACAGATTCCTGCCCACACCCTAGACAAATGCCTGAGCCTTTGTTTGTACCTCTGTGACATGAGCTATTGAGACTAAGCCTGCTCTGATGTCACCTCTGGGGCCTTCCCAGGAAAACCATCTCCCAGCCCCAGGCTGGCTCATCTGCCCAGTTTCCCTCTCATTCTTTGAGGCAGCCCTAAGGCGGTATTTCCCTTCCCTCCCCCCCACTGCTCAGTGGAGAACTGATAATGACTTCTGCACCTCTGGCAGAGGTGTTTGGGGGAATGGTAGAATAAGAATGTAGAAGATATATGCCCAGCCAGGCGCTGGTGGCTCATGCCTATAATCCTAGCTATTCAGGAGATTGAGATCTGAGAATCTCCATTCAAAGCCAGTCCGGATAGGACTGAGACCGTACATGAGACTCTTACCTCCAATGAACCCCCAGAAAACCAGAAGTGGTGCTGTGGCTCAATGGTAGAATGCTAGCCTTGAGCAAAAGAGCGTAGGGACAGTGTCCAAGCCTTGAGTTCAAGCCCCATGACACACATACACACATACATGTACATGCTCACACACACAGACACAGATGTGCCCAGATGGACAAGATTATAACATGTGATCTCTGAGATGGCCCAGACTCATTGATCCAACAGCTTGCCTGTGGCCAGAGGTCCACTTCAAGCCACATTATTGCCTAGACTATTTCCCTCAGCTTCCTGCTCTGCACATTGAATTCACCACCTATCCATAGGGAAGCGCTCACCGAACCCCTCTTCCTCAGCAGTCCCCATCCCAGGGGTTCACTACAATCCCCACATTGCAGACAAAGAACCTGAGGCTCAGAGAGGTTATATCGCCTGCCCAAGGCCATACAGCTGCAAATGGCAGAGGCTGCCACTGAGCCCAGAGCCTCCCTACTACCCCAGTTCAGGGCAGGCCTCAGGTGGGAGAACCCGTCCAGGTGGTCCTCAGGTGCCTCCTCCGCCCATGCAGGGGCCCAGCTCTGCGTGACACCAGCCAACAGCACAGGCTTCTTGTGCCATGACGGGAGGAGCTGCATCCCTGCCCACGGCGTGTGCGACGGCGTCCGCACATGCCCACATGGCGAGGATGAGGACCAGAGCTTGTGCCGTGAGTAGCTCGTCACTGGTACTTATGCTCCGTGTGGCCCTCCCAGGGCTGATTCCATTCCCCCTGAAGCACTACTGAAGCCCTGCCATCCAGAGCATGCCAGGCCCACCACAGCCCCACACTTACGATGACGTGGTGCCTTTGGCCCATTCCAACGGCCCCCAGACAGCCATGTTAAAGGGTGCTTCACTATGCATCTGCACCCCTGAGCATCAGTGTTCATCCTTCAGCCTTCTCTGACCCCCATATGAAGTTAAGACTCTCCTTTAGGCTCCCACAGCCCTTGTGCCTCTCTATATGCCCTAATCATACTGTTGTTACGTCTGCAACTCTCAACAGGCTGTGAACTTCTCTGGGATAGCTCTGGTCTGCTTGATCATGATGCACTAGTATACAGGAGTTATTCTGAATGAATAGATGAATGAATGAATGAGTGAATGTATGAATCAGTGTCTGGATCTACAGCTGGGAGAGGGGTGGATGAGTTGGGAAGAACAGCGGCCGAGCCAGGAGTGTTGGTTCATACCTATAATCCCAGCAATTGAGAGGAAGAGAGAGGAGGATTAGTTTGAGGCCAGCCTGGACTACATATTAAGTTTGAGGCCAGTCTGAGTTACATAGTGAGGTACTGTCTCCAGAAGCCAAGGACTATGGGTAATAGCTCAGTTGTAGAGTGCTGGCCTAGTACACTCAAGGTGCTGGGTTTGATCCCCCACATTGGGGGACAGGAGAAGACTCTGAGGATTCATCTAGTCTCCTACCCCAACTCCTGCTCAGTCTCCTCTGTAGCAAGACCCAGAGGCCAACTTGCTGCTGCTTGCATGTTTCTGGAATGAGGAGCTCACTCCCTGAGGTAGCTGCTCCTAGTTCTGGGGTAGATTTTCCTCAGGGAGGTTTCTTTGTTCTGAGCTTACAGCTGCCTCCAGAGCCCCCTCCACCCCTGCTCCAATAGATCCCATTTAACCTCTCTCCAAGATAGTAGGAGGTGCTGTCTTGCCCTATGAGCATCCCCTTCTCCAGACCATGCCTTGAACCCCAGAGTCTCCAGCACCTCCCATGACCCAGTTCTTGGCCCCTCAGTACACTACAGAATACATTCCACCTGCCTGCATCCTTCTCCTTGCACACACCCCTGCAGTAACCGTAATGTCTCCAGTGGAATCTGGCGAGACCAAAGAATGAAGGCTGGTTCTTTCCTCAATCTGTTTTGTATCTGAGACAATGTGGCTGAGTTTGCGTGAATCTGGGCAGCCCTGGCCCACACCTGCCTAACACAAAATCTGCATCCTTAGCCAAAGCCTAGCTCTAGAGTGTCTCATTTCTCCTTGCTACACACACCCCAGTTGGAGGAGGCTTTCCTTGAGGTGGCATAGTTTTGTGGGGGTCTTAAGGAGATCTTTCTAGAGGGAAGAATAGTGCTAGCGCTGATGTGGGGTAGAGAATGAGAATGAGGACAAGACAGTGGCTTTGGGGGACCACCTGCTGGTGGGGAGCAGGCATACTCCTCTCCCTTGGGCTGACCTCCTCCTCAGGAAAACTCCTGGTGCTCTTTCTGGGTTGGGTGGGAGGCAACCGGGTGCCAGGACCCATCCATCTTCACATGGCCCTGAGGCAGCCACGGACTTCAATGTGGACTTCATCCTGACTCATCTGTCCCCTTGCAGGAGATGTGCCCCAGAGCCTCCCCAGCTTCCTCGTGGCCCACTGCGGAAACCCGGCCTCCTGGATCTACTCAGACCAGAAGTGTGATGGAATCAACAACTGTGGGGACTGTTCGGATGAACTCAGCCCAGGTGGAGGTCTAGGCACAGGCTGGGCCAGAACAGTGGCCAGACAGTGGCCAGAGGGTAGAGGCTGTCCAGGGCACCTCTGAGGTTCCCCATACCCTCTTTGACTCCTAGATACGCTCATGGGTGTACATCTCCCAATGGGGTGTCCAGTAGCCCTCTCATGGCTCTCTCTAGAGGTTCATTCTTCAGGAGGGGAGTGTTGGAATGCTGGGGACCAGGGCACAGGGCAAAGGACAGAGCTGAAGCACCCTTAGGGAGTCCTAGGGGTGGGCATGGCTGGAATCAGGGTGAGGCAGGAGGAAGAGCTAGATGATGGGGAAAATAATATACACCCATTAGTATCAGAATTGCCTGTCTTTCTTTCCTTAACAACCTTCAACGATGAGGAACAGAAGCTTAGACAGGGTGTTGGAGGCAGAGTCTCAATTCTGTCTAATGCATTCAAACTCAGTCAGCCCACACCTGACAGGGCAGGCCTGGCTCTGGAGAGCTGTGGCAGGTTTCATGTATGAAGCGGTCCAGGACAAGCAACTGTTCCCATGCTGACTTTTCTCTCTCTAGTGACTTCATGCCCACTCTGTGGCCCTGGGTGGTGGCGTTGCTCTTCGACAGTCTTCAGGTACTGCAGCTGCATTCCAAAGAACCTGTGCCGGGACCACGTGCAACACTGCTCAGACTGGTCTGATGAGTTCTCCTGTCCTGGACCTGAATAGGGCCCCCAGGCAGGGGTGACTGGCTGGTTGGAATGGCACTGATAACCCTTCTCATAAACATCAAGTCCTAGACCATGAGGGTAGGAAGGAACCTTTAAATCAACCCCCTACCCCACCCTCCAAGATCTTCTGATTAGGAATTTCTTCTTCTACTTTCAAGTTGCTCTGCCTCCGTTTGGATGGCTCCAGTGACAGGGAGCCATCTACCATGTTGCGCAGCTTCTAACAAAGATGTGGAGAAGCTGCTCTAGGATTATAGGTCCATCTCTGGGTCCTTACAGAGGAAATAAATTCTCCTGCTCCAAGACAGGCTCTTGTATCATTTCTTTTTCCAGTCCTGGGGCTTGAACTCAGACCTGGGCACTATCCCTAAGCTGCTTCTGCTCAAGGCTAGCACTCTACCACTTGAATGACAGTGCCACTTCTGGCTTTTTCTGTGTATATGGTACTGAGGCATTGAACCCAGGGCTTCATGCATGCTAGGCAAACACTCTACCACTAAGCCACATTCTCAGCCTCCCTGGATCATATCTTGTTGACCCTTGAGAGAAGATATGTCTGGCCTTAAGTGCCAAGATGAGGAGTTCAGTTCCACGGGTATCACTTAAGGTCACATACAAATTTTCCTGTCCCTTTGGTTAATTAAGGTAGATAGTTTGGGGTTTGGAGCAGCCTTTGAAGGCTGGATGGACTGATCACATGAGCCTACAAAGGAGGCAGGGTGAGGGTCATCCTCCCAGAAGGAAGCATGCCAGGAGGCTTGGGCTGGAGAATGGAAGATCTGGAGAAAGGACAGCTTGAGGGACCTCTTTCTCCCTCTGTCCATCCCTACCCACCACAGCCCTTTCTCTTATGTCTAGCCACCAGCTAGACAGCCCAGGGTTTTTGAAAAGGAGGTTTTATTTTGATCCTGGAGCTGGAATGAGCCATCTCCCTACATAGCTTCCCAGCTTTTCAGCATCCAGCCAGGCAAGGATGGGTGGTCCCATCAGACAGACGAGGAAACTGAGACCCAGAGGGAAAATGACTTACCTAAGATCTCCAACAAAGTCAAGTGCTGGAATTGGGACTCAAACACAGTTTATGGCAGCAGCCCAACCCCAAAGTCCTCCTAGTTACCAATGTGACCATTATCATGGTTGGGAAGAGTCTCTGTGGGATATTAAAGAGGGAGCTTGAGAGGCACAAGATGCCCCACCTTTATCATGAGTGTCATGGAATCTAGTCAAAGTAGAAAACTCCTGTTGAAAAATACAGCTCTATCAGCTATACAGTCAATACACTTGGTTTTATACATCAGTCTCTTGTTGACTTGGAAATGGTGAGCACTGGGTCATTTGGTGCCTCATTCCTTCATTCACTCATCAGTCTCTGTACTAAGCCATAAGCTGGGCGCCAGAGCCTGAGTGGCAAAGCATGGATCCTGGCACATGAGGAATGAGGGGTCTTATGAAGGCCACACCTCACACCACTGAGGGACCAGTGGGACAGCATGAAATGCTGGGCCCTAAAGAGACAGCATTGGAGGACCAGCTTCTGAACAGGTGTCTCTGGAATCTGGCCTGAGGATGGTCAGCCCCTTCTGGGGCTTCTTTATAAACGCAGCCCAAGCAGGAGCGGTGGGGCCTCTGGCTGCATAGAGATGGAGCCTCCACATGGTATGGCTTAGTCAGGAGCTGGCCAAGAGGCTACAGTGGCCCAAACATAGAGCAGGGAAAGGAGACGGGAAGAGAAGGGAGAGAGGAGATAAGGGCTGGATCCTAGTGGACACAGCATGTTACACTTCACCCCAAGGAAGTGAGATGTCCTGGGGGTTGGGGGGGGGAATGTAGCAGGGAAGGGTCTATTTTTAGAGTGCCTGTTGCTTGGAGAGGTAAAGCAGCTTCATGGATATGTGACTGACGGAGGCCAGAGCCTGGTGTGTGGATTGGACAGTGAACTATGTTCATGGTTCTAGGCCATCTCTGCAGGTCTGGGAAGGTCTGCCAGCAGAGGTGATACCTTGGCAGATCCAAGAAGACTGAGGCATTTGGGAAACAGGGAAAGGCATGGCTGAATCCTGGGTAGCAGTGGGATACCAGGTGGGGCGGGGGGTGGCACAGGAGAGACACATCTGATGTCTCCTTGGGAGGAGGGTTGTGATGAAGGCTCAGGAATAAAGATCCAGCAGCACTAGGCAATCTTGCAGGCTTACTGAGTGAGAAGAATAAGATCTGGAATGTGAAAGCCTGCTTTACGCAGAGGAAATGGCGCCCAGCATGGGACAAGTGGCTGTGTGTTAGTGAAGGAAGGGAAAGACTAGGTCTAAGTAAGTCATCTTGTTTTCACAGCCATCCTGATGCCTAGGTGATGGGGCCTGTCCACCCTCTTCCAAGGCCATGGTTGGGGGACATTAAGCCATGCCATCTTGACATTTGGAGTCTACCTGGCTTTCTAACAAAGACTCCCAATTCAATCTTTCAAAATGCGGCTTCTCTGTTTTCTCCTGACTGGATTTGTATCTGATTTATCTGACAACATTAGCAGCCAGTCAATGTTCTGGAAGCATTTAGTTCCTGTCAGGCACTGTGGCAAGCCTTTGTCTGATCTCTGCAGCAGGATCACTTTTTCTGATCCTTACAACTGCTCTGGGAACCTGGTTTAGCAATGTGTGCATTCCACACAGGCAGAGAGAAAGAACAAGCTAGAGGTGGGGGTGGAGGAGAGGCATGCTCAAAATCACACAGCTTTTTTTTTTTCCCTTTTGTGTAGTTCTGGAGCTTGAACTCAGGGCCTTGGCACTGTCCTTGAACTTTTGTGCTTAAGGATAGAGCTCTACCACTTGAACTACAGCTGCACTTCTGGCTTTTTTTTGGGTGCCGGTCCTGAGGTTTGAATTCAGGGCTTGGGCCTTGTCCCTGTGCTTTATGAGTTCAAGGCTAGCGTTCTACCACTTGAGCCACAGCTCCACTTTTGGGGGGTAGTTTATTGGAGATAAGAGTTTTGTGGATTTTCTTGCCCAGGCTGGCTTTAAACATGGTCCTCAGATGTCAGCCTCCTGAGGAGCAAGGATTATAGGTGTGAACCACTGGCACCAGCCACACAGCTTTTAAGATATAGAGCCACGAACTAAACTTTGGTAGTCCCAAGTCTGGCTCACCACAACCCTCCTAATGTCTCCCTCTTTCTCAGCTAGGTGTCTTTAGGGGGAAAGCTGGAGCTCAGGCAGAAGCCACAGCCTAGAAGCAGGAATTGGCTGGTGTTGGCACAAGTGGCATTTGTTCATTTCTTTCTTTCTCTGTCTTTCTTTCCCCTCCTCCCTCCCTCCCTCCCTCCCTCCCTCCCTCCCACCTTTCCTTCCTTCCTTCCTTCCTTCCTTCCTTCCTTCCTGCTTGCTTTTTGTTGGTTGTGGGGCCTGAACTCAGGGCCTAGGCCCTGTCCCTGAGCTTTTTTGATTAAGGCTACTCTACTACTTTGAACCACAGGGCCACTTTAGGTTTTCTGGTGGTTAATTGGAGATAAGAATGTCCTGCCTGACAGGGCTAGGAAGGTGGCTCAGTGGTAGAGCGCTTGCCTTGCATGCCTGAGGCCCTGGGTTCGATTCCTCAGCACCACATAAGCAAAAGGAAAAAAGCCAGAAGTGGTGCTGTGGCTCAAGTGGTAGAGCGCTAGCCTTGAGCTCTAGAGCTGAGGGACAGCGCCCAGGCCCAGAGTTCAGGCTCCACAAGTGGACACCCCCCCCAAAATAAGAATGTCCTGCCTGGGCTGGCTTTGAACCACAATCCTCAGATCTCAGCCACCCAAGTGGCCAGGGTTGCAAGTAGGAGCTACCAGCATCTGGCTGTATTTTTTCTTCTTGTCTTGTTTATTGGCTCTTACTTTCAGAAATGAGCAGGTATCATAGCTTCTTCCCAAACAGCTTTCCCAGGAAGATGAAAGGCCTGGGAGGCTAGGCAGGCCCTCCCCTGGTGCCCAGCCACAGAGCAGCAGCCGGGAGACAACCCAGAAGCTTGTGTCAATATTTGTCCTCTCCCAGCTTCTCTGGCCCCAGCTCCAAGACCAGGGCTCTAAGTACAACAGGTTCTTTACTGTGCAAACACGCAGGGATAGATTAATGGAATTTAAAGTGGCTCAGGCTTGGCCCCAGGGTTTGGATGGGAAAGCTGGTCTGGTTTAACTGTCTGCCATCACTGTTTGCCAGGGGCTCTCCTTTCATCCTTAGACTCACAGAATCACAGACATTAGCTCTGGCAGAGACCCCAGAGCTCAGCCAGGCTTATGACTGAAGAGGAGAGGAAAGACAGGAAAGAGACCAGCCCAACGCCTCACAGAGATTCTGATTCTCAAAGCCATCCAGCAACTCCTGCTCCAGGCAGAAATAACATCTTTGAGTTCTTACACACACACACACACACACACACACACACACAAATGTATTTAAACAGTAGTTCTCATCCTTCTAGGTAATACATCTAAGACTTCTACAATTCCCAGTAGATGGACAATAATATCAAACTCTATAATACTAAGCCCCTCCCTACACATACCTGTACCTGTGATAACGTTTAACTTATAAATCCAATACAGAGATGAACAATAATGTACTGTAATGAAAGTACCAACATCAACCACCACATCACTACTTTAAGGCTGTTTGTTTCCTTGTTTATTTGTTGTATCACTATTGGAGATTGAATTTAGGGTTCCATGCTCCAACTTAGCTTTTACTATTCAAGACTGATGCTATACCATTTGGCTTTTTTCTGGCTTTTTCTGATGAATTGGAGATAAGAGTCTGTTGGATTTATCTGCTTTGTGTATCTTTGAATCTCAGTCCTTAGATCTCAGCTTCCTGAGTAGCTAGGATTACAAGTACCTGGCTGGGTTTTTGTTTTGTTTTGTTTTTGTCTTACCCCCACCCCCACCCCTGTCCTAGGGCTTGAACTCAGGGCCTGGGTGTGATCCCTGAGCTGTTTCTACTCAAGACTAGCACTCTACCACTTGAGTCACAGTGCCACTTTTGGCCTTTTCTGAGTAGTTTATTGGAGATAAGAGTCTCATGAGCTTTCCTGCCCAAGCTGGCTTTGAACTGCAATCTTGAGATCTCAGCCTCCTGAGTAGCTAGGATTACAAGTATGAGCCAACAGTACCCAGCTTGACTGTCTGTTTTTTGAGATAAGGTTTTGCTTAGGCATCCCAGGTTGACCTTGCACTTGAAATCTTTGTCGGCCTCTGATGCTAGTATTACAGATCAAGTTAGTTGACAGCGTT